AATAGATAATCTGGTTTTAAATTCAGTCCTGAACCTGCAACCTCAGGTACATGATTATACTGCTGGAAAAATAAAATCAGACAGGTTTGGAAGGACATGAGAGTGAGTAAATAATAACAGAATTTTGCTTTTTGTGTGTGCCTTTTAGAATAGGGCCAGAGCCAATGCCACAAATGGATTTGGACAACTTTTAATTCCCTTATTTAACTTGTTTTAATATTTTTTTACTTAGTACAATAGACTTTATTTACAGTTTATATATTTTCAAATAGTTCGTGTTCTTTATAATGATATATTGATCTTCAGCGGAAAAGTGACCAGTGCTTGCTCTCTGTCATCGTTTCACGTGATTGGATGTTCGCTGGAAACGTCACACTTTTGTGCACTCGTCCCCGATCATGGACCATAAAGCGAAGAGGAACATCACAGGATCGAAACATGAGTTGACAGAGAACATTTATGTGGAGCCTTACAAAACTGCTGAACCAGTTTGCAATCTATTTGAATTTCTCATCTCAAAAGCAACTCTAAACACTCTACGCATGTGAGACTCTGTGCTTTGCTGGATTGATTGTTTTGTATGTTTTGCTTGTGTTACCATAGCAACTACTCGGTTTCTTTTGCGTTCACTGCTTATTTCTCGTTTATGTGAGGTAACGTGAGTAACCCGCTTTTGTATTGATGCCCAAAATACTAACGTTAGCTCTCTTTGTCTAGAATACTTAATTGTTTTTGTTTTGCAGGAATGATGGCCAGCGGATCAAAATATAAGGAGCCCAGAGTCAATCACTACAGAACAGAGACACGACAATTAATACAAAGTGTGTGTGTGTGTGTGTGTGTGTGTGTGTGTGTGCGCGCGCGCGTTTTTGTGACAAATGAGGACATACATTTGTATAATGACATAGGTATTACAAGGTGAAGGTGACTTTTCAGGACATTACCCCCATGTCCCCACTTTTCAAAACGCTTATAAATCACACAGAATGGAGTGTATTGAAAATCTGAAATAGCACAAAGTTT